GAGACACTCTAATTGATGACACAGGTGAGACTGCGCGAGGTGATCGAAAGTGTCGTCGCGGGTGAGACAACGTGCGTGCGCGCGTTTGATGTTGATTACATATGGAGGAAGAAATGAAATCTTCAGTCAGTTCTCTCCGGATTTAAGGAGATATCAAGAGGCAGAGAGGGAGAAAGAGGGAACGGGGTAGAAGACAAGGTGATGCAATCATTTAAAGAGGAGCTCTCCTCATTTCTCTGGTTATCAAACGCTCCCTGAGATTTTATTCTGTTCTGAGGAGATCCGTCTGTGCGGTTTTGGGAATGTCTTCATCTAATAAACCAAAAGGCTTTGCGTGAGCAAAACTTAATATAGTACAACAAACGCAAACTTACGTGGTGCACGTGAGACGCATGCGGCCTACAGAGAGACACGCAAGCCGAAAAGGTGTTTTTGTACATGCATGCAAAAAAATGTGGATGTGTGATGTGGCCTGTCGTGTTCTTTAGTTGTGTGATGTTGTGTGTTTTGTGGGAGCGTGAGATTCATGATATTCTGGAGTTAAAATATTGTTCTCTTCGGATTTTAGAGATTTAAAATGAGACGACATTAGACAAGAAGACAATGAAATCAGAGAAGATGATAAGAAAATAGAAGAAACAAAAAATGAGAGAAAAGAAAGTAGTAAGAAAAGATGAAAGCGGAAAAAAGGGCGAAATGGGAAGAGACAAGAAAAGAAGAAATAAGCAGAGAAGGAAAGAATATAAGAGACGAGACAAAAATGAGAATGAATAATAGAGATTAGGAAAGATAAGTTGACAAAATAGACAAAATGAGAAGAAATGAAATATAAAAATAAATACATATAGAAATAAGTCAGTGAATAAGATTAAAATAAGAAGAGAAGAGAAAGAAGACAAGACAAATGAGAAGAAACAAGAACAGGGAAAATAGCAGAGACAAAGTGAGAAGAGATGAAATGAAAGGAAAAATTATGGGAGGCAAGAAGAGAAGAAATGAGCTGAGAAGAGACAAGACAAGATGAACAAAGAAGAGAAGAGGATTCAAATAAGAGGAAAGGAGTGATGAGAGAAAATGAAACAAGACAAAGGAACAGATGAAATGAAAAGAGATGAGAAGAAATGAGAAGAAACAAGAAAATTATGAGACAAAGTGAGAAGAAATGAGATGAAAGAGACAAGAAGAGCAGAGGTGAGAAAAGAAGAAAATGAGAGAAGAGACCAAATGAGAAGAAACCGGACAAGAAGAGTCCAGTGAAAAAAATATAGAGAGTTGAGAAAAGATGAGCTAAAACAGAAGCTAAATAAGAGATGGAATGAGAATAAAATAAGAGAAGAGATCAAATTATAGATGAAAGAAGAACAGATGAGAAAAATGTGAAAGAAATAAGAAGAGAAGGGATAAAAAGATGAGCTGAAAATGACAGATGACACAAAATGTGAAGAAACCAAAGAAATTGTGAAATGAGAATGGGAGAGACGAAATGAGGAGAAGACGCAAAATGAGAAGAGATGAGACAACATGAGAAGATGTGAGAAAAATTCAAGGAATTACATAAGAAAGAAGAGATTAACTGAAAACCTCTGAAAGAAAGTAGAAGAGAATTGACTTGAGAAAAATGAGAATAGATAAAAGAGATGAAAATGTTGAGACAAAATAAGAAGAAAATAAGAGACTAAATGAGAATGAAGAGAAGAGAATAGAAGAGAAGAGAATGTGAGGAGAGGGGGATGGAGGGAAGAGGAGAGGAAGGTTTCATGTAAAAGAGGGAGACTGAAGCTCCCACGAGACTCTCTCCATTAATTGTGAAGTGAAGGTGCCCTCAGGCCAACACAGGGGAACAGAATCACTCACTCACTCACTCACACACACACACACACACACACACACACACTATATACTATACTCACAGCTACACATACTATAACACTATACACAAATACACAACAATTCTATTACACTACAAACACAGATACATCACATATAAGATATAACAATAACATCAGGAATCATAGTGTAATGTGTGTGTGTATTTAGCTCTTTGGGCACAAAATTATCCCAAGAAGTGACAACTCATCCCTAGAAAACTGACAAAAACCTCCCTAATTTGGAGAAGCTAAAAAAATGATTTAAAGTAAAAAATTAATAAAGAATTATATTTTTAATTCTACCAAAAAATTCAAAAGTTTATAATGACTTTATAGCCATAATTAGCTTTATACATAAATATATACATTATTTATACATAAAAAATGATCTCTATGAAGAATTTCAGTCAGGTTTCAGGCCCCACCATAGCACAGAAACTGCACTTGTTACACAATCTGTATTGTTAAAAGCGCTATATAAATAAAGGTGACTTGACTTGACTTGACATATATATATAAAAAATAAATAGACATATTAAAAAAAAAAAGCCAATGTTTTAATTCAAATAGCTGAATGAGAGTCTGTGAGTGACACTGGGATTGACTGAGCTGTAAAACAATCAGTCCACTAGAGGGAGCACCGGGAATACAGTATGACTGACCCTCTCTCACAAATGCACACACACTCTCTCTCACAAACACACACACTCAGCTTGAGCCTGTTAAACACTTCAAGAATTTCTTCATCATATTCTAGACAGACATGTGCAGAAAACCTCTGACAAATTACCCAGAAAACACATCTGATACTAAAGGAGTGTTCTGTATTCAATACGAACATAATACTGACACGACCACAGACTCATTTCGACTCATCTCTCATTTCTAAAAACAAAAAGGCTGAGTGTGTTCATCTCATTCTGTCAATCGCAATGCAAGTGTTTATATTCTTATATCATCCCTCCACTACTCTAACTTCACTACATTAAGTAATTAAATAGTCCAATTTAGAGGTCACATCTTGGGCTTGAGTCCTCTATCTCAGGCAGAAAGCTAAATGTGTTTATCTCAGTCAGAAATGATATGAACATGGGATCTTGAGCAAGACACCGCACTGTTATAATTAACCCAGAATGTCAATTTAAACAAATATGGCAAACAATCTCCTGGATATATTTTAAAATGAAATCTCAGACAGATTCAAAGCACCATTAAACAGCAGAGGAACGATCAACAGGCCTAAACAACCAGCACAAATCTGTAAAGATGAAAAATAGATGCCATGTACAACATGAAGAGATGCTGCTGATTTCACAAACACTGCCATTTGCCTCATCATGAACAGAGACACTACAGGACTTTCTATTTATGAACAGAATATTCTGGGTTAAATCCAGCAACAAAAAAGGACCGCCCCATATTTCCAATATCTGCTTAACTTTTAGTATATTTTTGTTTTATTTACAAACTCAAACTAAGAGACAAGTCAAAATTATTGTCTGTGGTAATCAACATCAGGCCAAAGATCATATTTATTGTATATTGCCTTGGAATATTCTTTTTAAAATTATTTTAATCAAGATCAAGAATCAAGGGTCACAGGTTTGCGCTGACAAACTAAAAGACAGTGACACATGCAAAATATTAAAATGCTAAAGCTAATCATATAATTGCAAATTTAGGACAGCAATTTATTCTAACTTGTGAACTAACCTATTAAATGTCAGGAGAAAACAATTACCATATCTCTTGTTGATGATGTTAATAGTCATGCATCCAATCAAATGTTACAGTATTTTGGCGCAAACTGTCCTGTATCTTGTTAATTTCTTTAATACTAATATAATATTTAAACCCATGTTTGTTTTGCTTATATTGCTGGTAAATTAATCTTCTGCTGTTGCATGAATTATAAATTTAATGTTGCTAATTTTACATATTATTGGGTGATGTTAGATGTTTCATTTTAAGCACAATTTTGTTTACTTTTTGTACGCTAAACAATTTAGTGTTCAGTGGCCACTTAATTTGTAAAATCTTAATCTGGAAGAAAAACTAGATTCAACTAAACCCTGTTTGTTTGCAGTCTTTTACTGTAAGCTTTTACTAAGTTTCAGGGCAAATAGTAGGCTAATACTATAGTGTTTTGTTATAAACGATGTATAATTAAACAATTTCCATTCATATACCATGGTATTTGCATATTGTGCTCTAGTATTTAAAAACTACCACACAGTAGTACACCTCCGAAAATACAGGTAGGCTACTTTTTGTCAGTGCTGTTTAAGTGCTGCTGCTTTCCCAGATTTCAGTGTGAATTCAGTCCTGAGGAAAGAGAGCGTGTTTGACTCAAGGTTTCACCATGACACACTGAGGAAGAGGAGGACATTGAGAGGAAGATAACAGGAAACACACACACATACAGCCATACCCCGATGGAGCTGCTCTCTCCTGTTTCCCTCTCTGTACGATCTCTCCATCCTGACAGGAGAGGCTTCAGGCATCTGCTGAGCTTCAGGCCACACACACACACACACACACACACACACACACACGGTGATGTCTAACCACATTACACACTCATAACAACAAATTCACGCTGTACTCTGCTGTCACGCGTGAGCATGATGAATTCGGCGTTGTGATTGTGTGACTGTGAGCGTTTCTGCAAACCACAAAATTCACTGATGACAGTATATGAGTGTGTGTGTGTGTGTGTGTGTGTGTGTGTGGCCTGACGGCGATCTGAAGTTTTGCCGCGCTCCCAGGGATGGCGAGTGTACAGTGGGTTGCCGGGGGCGACGGCGATATGAAAGGTGGTTAATGAAGCACTTAGCATTTGAAGGCTAGCAGCGGACCGCGTCCGAGTTCCGTCAGTCCTGATTGGCCGACGGGAGGGCTAACGCGAGCGGAGTGGTATTTTGTTGCTCGGCGACGAGCCCTGAGGCGACGCCCCAACCCTGACCCCTCCCCCCCATCAGCGCGGATGCGATGTGACAAGTTTAGCGGGAGGAGAGAGCCGCTCTTTTCTTTCTGTCTGTACAGCCGGAGAGGTCGCGTGTGTGTTTATCAGATCTGCTCTGAGTGAATGAGAGAATATCTGTCTCTCTACCTGCTCCCCGTCGGTCTCACCTCATGTTTCATTCGCTTGCTCTTTGCCAGCACCTGTCTCCCTGCATTTCACTTCTCCCACGCTTCCCCTCGTTCTCTCCTAAACGCAATAACCATTTAAAGACAGACAACGCCAGCTCCTCTTATACCGAACCGATGCAAACACGCTCATCCGGGTAATGAGGACTAACCATAGGCTTGCATTGTTATTAATGCAGGGGAACTGGGGCTAGCTGTCACGTGTGGATTTCCTGGGTTTATTGTTGAAAGTCAGTTTCTGTATAGATTGAAAACCCTTTTCACCGCTTTGCTCAAGAACAACATACAGTTCTTTTAACATGCTAAATTACTATTAATAGTAAAACAATTCTGAAAAAAGATAAAAGAAAAGGAAAAACATACGAAAAATATTGTTTTGGCCAACATAAATTAATATACAAATATTTAGAAAGTATTTATGCATGCAAAATATATGAAAAAAAAAGATAAAAGAAATGAATAGCTTACTTATTCAGGAAGGAAGCATTAAATTGATCAAAAGTGACAGTAAAGACATTTATAATGTTACAACAAAATTATATTTAAAATAAATGCTGGTGTTTTGAACTTTCTATCCATCTAAGAATCCTTGTTTCCACAAAAATATGAAGCAGCACTAATGTTTTCAACATTGATCATAATCAGAAATGTTTCTTGAAGAGCAAATCGGCATATTAATGATTTCTGAAGGATCATGTGACACTGAAGAGTAATTATGCTGAAAATTCAGCTTTGCATCACATTACTTTATTATATTTTTGAAATATATTCAAATAGAAAACAGTTTTTTTAAATTTTAATATTTCACAATGTTACTGTTTTTACAGTATTTTTTTTTTTAATAAAATAAATGCAGCCACCAGACGTCTTTCAGAAACATCTTACCATCCCAAACTTGACTTTTGTCTGAATATGTCAGTGTGGTTTTATTGTTTATTTGTTAGTTAGCAAAAATATTAATATTTTAATATTGAATTCTGAATTCAGAAAAAAAAATCTTATTTCAGTTTAGACTAACAAAACCAGGATTTGAAATACTGACTTCTGACTCAAAACAGCCACTGTGACAGCTTCCTCGTGTGACAACTAGCCCCGGTCTCTCATAAAGCCAATTGTAATTACATCTGACTGACTCTAGGCAAACCATACCCTACGTGAAAAATGCAAAATGCTATTATTTAACATTTTTGCCTTTAAGGCCAGTTTTGTGAGATTTAATGTAACTAAATAAGTGACGTGACATGTGGCCAAGTATGGTTAGCCATACTAGGAATTAGTGCTCTGCATTTATCCCATCCTAAGTGCACACACACAGTTTAGATTTGTGGATATTGATGTCGTCAGCCAGTTCTGTTTATACTTAAGGGCAAAAATCATCAGTGCTTTCATCTTTATGATTACAAAAAAATTACAGACATTGAGAAGAGAGAGCAAGAGGATGAGAGAAGTGATAAATTAAACAAAGATCTCTCCTCATCTATAAATCTATACATCTGCATTAGAATGGACAATGACAGGAGTCAGCATAAGGACAAGTCGATCTGTTGGCAAAACAAACACATTCATTGACCTAATGACCTTCAAACTCTAGCCATTATAGTCACCAATATGACTAAATATGATAAACTACAACTACAGTGATCTTAGCATGTTTAAAGATGATCTTAATCACTATGGAAAGTAAATTAAAAGCTTTAGATTAGGTGTCTTTAACTTATATTTAACCCTCATGTTGTGTTTTGGCCATTTTGACCTGGAGAGGATTTCATTTTTTCTAAAAAGTCTAATTAAAGGTGTTACTAAAAAAGAACATGATTTTGTCTATTTGGTGTAATGCAATGTGTTTATGTGGTTTAAGGTTCAAAAAACACATTATTTTCCACATACTGTACATTATTGTTTCTCCTCTATGCCCCGCCTTTCTGAAACGTGTCAATTTTTACAAAGCTCATCGGTCTGAAAAGCGAGGTGTGCTCTGATTGGCCAGCTATCCAGTGCGTTGTGATTGGCCGAATGCCTCAAGCGTGTGACGGAAATGTTACGCCCCTTACCATACTGTGATGCCCTGTCCGGCCGGAGCGATGAGACAAAACCAGTAAAACCCATTATAAACGAGGCATTTGTTGCATCCAGTGGGGACATAATTACTGATTATAATGACTAATGACTGTCTTTTGTGATCGGAGAAAGGACAAACAACAAGCGCTATACACTGCTCAAAACTCGCATTTGAATCGTCAGTGGCAAATTCTTTAAATATGAAAACATACTTACAGGCTGTGCGTCAGAAGCGCCAGACTGTCCTTGCAAAGTTGGAATTCCCCACTTTATAGAAACAGCCTTTGTGCACAGACGGCATTGTAGCTACTCTCCCAGGAAACAGTCCTCCATAAAATGTGCTGCACACATAGGCGGCGCGTGTGTAAGGCTGGGGAAGGCGTAGCCAAAAATGCCACTAAATTGTACAAAAATGCCCCTGCACAAACAAATTAAATCTATTAGACTGTTGCTAACAAAATGAAAATGAATAGAAAGTGTCGATTGCGGCAATAAATTAAGATCTGCTCATGTTGCACCGTATTTCATTTTAGGTGTTTTTAGAGTGTTGCGCATTATAACCAAACACACACGATTCTGTTGAGCTTAGGAATGCAATGGCCAATCAGAGGCGTTCAGATGAGTCATCGCTGAAACTCATCAGTTTTGAGTGCAAGCGTGCGTTCGCTGACTGAATTCTGGATGCGCAGATGTATGTACAATGTAAGTTAGAGATTCATTTCACAGTGTAGACAGCTTAAGTGATTATAACGATAGTTTTTTTTTGTTTTTTTTGAGAGTGCTTAAACTCGCGATAGATCAAAGTTAGTGATAATGTCACTTTCTGTATAATAATTTATTCGGTGTTTGAATAACCTTGGAAAGGAAACTATTTATAATTACCAATTTCTAAAGTTTTTATTAAATTGTAATCACGTTAAATACAAATTCAGTCCCATTAAACATTTTTTTAGCCTACATGACACCCATGTCTGGCGGTGTTTGAATAACCTTGGAAAGGAAACTATTTATAATTACCAATTTCTAAAGTTTTTATTAAATTGTAATCACGTTAAATACAAATTCAGTCCCATTAAACATATTTTATTAGCCTACATGACACCCATGTCTGTTTCTTGCCTAAAAAGACGGGTTTATGTTTGTAGTTAATAGATTTGGCTGCTTTTAGCCTTACCCTGGAGTTGGTCCACCCTCCGCCTATGGCTGCACACACTCGAATATTTGGTTTGAACTGTTTTGGAACAGTGTTGTAAATACAACTTAACCACTGATTTCTAGTTGAGTCCTGTTTCGGAACCTCGCTTGGCGGCGGCGGCAACAACAATACTACAGCGAGAATCAAAGTTACGCCTTCTTTCTTTGCGTGAACATTTGGGCGGTGTTATGCAAATCTTCCCACACAGTGACATAGACATGTGGGGGCGTGTTTAAACGAGGTGTTTTAGGAGGGAGTGGACGACTCTTAACTTTTTTTTAAAGACTATCTCTTTGGGTTTGAGACTTTAGTCTTTGCAACTTTAGGGATCTTATCTATGCACGAACAGCTTGTAACACTCCAAAGAAAAAGGAAAACTTGAAATCGCATCATATGACCCCTTTAATGTTATGACACTGAACTTACTGACTCACACACAGGGTCTAACAACTCCCCCCCCAAAATTATAATATTTGTATTTTTTCCCCCCGGACCTTGATACACATGAGGTGTTTCCAATCAAAAATGACCTACAAAAAATTGCTTATAAATTTCTTGTTATGCTATATTATTAACAAATACTGGATTCAATCATTTTATCATCTTATTTTCTTTCAATGAAAAGAAGCACAGGTTTTGTATTTCTTTTTGTACCTGGTTATAGGCCTCACTGATCTGACTTTATGCACCTCAGTTTTTGAGTGAACATTGCAAAAATATATATTTTTTCAATTAAAAACGGAGGTGCATAAGCTCAGATCAATGAGGCCTACAATCAATCAGTTCCAAAAAGAAAGCATTGCAAGCATTTCTTTTTAAACATTTTTTACTGGGAAAACCAGCACAAGGGTTAAAAGTTTTTGATGCAAATGTACTTTTTGTGCACATATTGTTGTATAAACAGTAAAATGCATTATTAATAATAATCAAAATAAATCATTTTCACTAATATAGTTGGTTGTTTATGTAACATGCATGGTGCATCAATATAGAATTACTATAAAATCTCACTGAACTCTCGTCTAATTTTTCTGGTTTTATTAAAGTGTTTTTAAGATTCCGTGTGTGTTCAGCATGATGCATGTGCTGAGAATAATGAAGGATTGTGCGAGCGTGTCTGAATATATTTGTGAGTGTGTGTTTGTGTTTACTGAGGAGCGATGGCACAGCAATGTCTCCTCAGCAGATGAGATCGGAGATGACAGGCCAACACTGCTCTTTGTCAGAACATGAGAGGGAGAGAGTGTGTAAAATTTTAATCTGTAGTTATTTAGGGTATGGAGGCGTAGTGAGTTTGTCTCTGGGGTCACGGGCTTATGGAAGAAAGTTGTTGCAGCAAATGGCACGAAAGTAAACGTCTGTGACAGTTTCCTGTAGCAAAACGAGTCTTAAAACTCTCGCTCACTCGCTCTTTTTCATTTGGGGCATTCTGGATTAATAGTGCCTGTTTTATCCATCCCATCATGCTTTGCTGTGTGCAACGCAACTCTCTCCACAGAAATCACAGGCTGCAGTGTCTCTCAAGAGCTGGTTTAATCATATTACAATGATACTGATTAGAGTACATGAGTATAATAACGTCTACGGATTCATGCTGTAGAACAAGGTACAGCAGTAGGGTTTAAAATAACGTTTTCTTGTTCAGTCAGTGTGTAAAAATTAATTTTTAAGAAAGTATTTTTTTTTTAAACTTAAAAAATGAAAATGTATTTACTCACTCTTAAGTTGTTCCAAAACGGTCTGACTTGCTTTCTTCTGTGACATACAACAACAGATATATATATAAAAACAATTGGACATCACTGAA